AAATCACGGACAAACAGTATCCCACAGCTGTTTATGTTTTTAACCCCATTTTGCACAGAGAGGCATTTTTTGAAAAATGTATTGATAGCAATGTTGAATATTATTACACAGGAAAAAAAACCCAACTACACGTAAAATAATCACACCGCGACGCCTCTGCCTTTCTAAATAGAGGGACAGTAACTGGTGTAAAACCTGAAGATGGTCAGATTAACAGTATTTTGTCTCTATCTGTCATTCTGCAATTCATCTCATGTAAACAATAACGTGGCGCACAGCGTGACGTGAAAAAGGGCATATACCTTTGACATTGCGTGACGAACTCTGTATTCCTCGTCCACACGTAAAAGCAAAAAAGGAGTTTTAAAAAATCTCTGTTTTCGGTGATTCGGGGCGCGAACATTTTTCATGTAAAACAAAGGGGTCCCCAGCAAAAAAAGTTTGGGGACCACTGGTATAGCCTCACAGGTACCACACAGGCAGTCTGTTACACCAGCAGAGGAGTCTGAATCCACATTTTTTCTTAGGTTAGAGTAATAATTTTTATAACGTGATGTCTTTGCTCATAATTATTCAGTTCTAGCACTGATTTACATAGAAGAAAGAAAGTGTACTTTATTGATCCCCGTGGGGAAATTCCTCTCTGCATTTAACCCATTCACTCAGTGAAGCAGTGGGCAGCCATTGGGAGTGTGTAGGGACGGTACTTTGCTCAGGGGTACCTCAGGGTAACTGTTCAGGGGAATCGAACCCCCCGACCTTCCGATCATGGGGCCACCACTCTACCTACTGAGCTATCCCTGCTCCATAGTAGTACTAAGCTAACAAGAATGACTTATATGTCTCAGCTGTCCAGGTTCATGGTAGGCACGAGAGCCTGAAAAGTTGACTGGACTTCTTCAGTTCTTTTAGTTCTAAAAAAAGAAATACAGTAATGGACAACACGAAAATCCCACGGTGCATAAAACCCAGCAACACCCTCAGACAAAAACTGGTTCATTCCAAGGGAAAAAACTCCCAAACACAAGCTAAACAACATAACGTACGCTGTGCAGTGCAGCAAGAGACCAAACAGCCACTCCACAAACACACAGCACAGCATAGAAGAGCCACCTCGTGCCTCAGCTGTAGATCTGGACCTAAAGGGCAAAGGTCACTCTTTCTCATCATATCAATGACCGAGAAGACAGATGGTGTGAAGCAGGAGTGAAAGAGGTCATCAATGTCCAATGTGAACAACCATCATTGAACAGAGGCGGTGACTTACACCAGCTATTAGCCACCTAAAATGCAGTCTTGAGATCTCTTCCCAGGCTGTTCAATGAACACTCACACTTTTCCTTAGGTGACCTCACATGGCAGGGTGGGGCAAGGTCTCACAGGGGGTTTCACCCTTAACCCCTGATGATGGTAATGACCCACGCCTTTTTTCACAGCTTGGCTCATATGAGGACCCTCAGGATTACTTCCAAAACCCCACTAGGGTTTAAATACGTTGTTCTCTCTCCACTATTTGTTTTTAGAAATGAAGAAGCATCTTCAATGAGAGGTGAAACATCTTCCCAAACCTAAAAAACTTTTTCAGTATTTTCTTAATATTTGTCTTTTTATAAAAGATTACAAAAAAAAACAAACAACTGTATTGCAGACTTCAGTTATGTTAATCTCGCATCATACTGGCGAAATATTACCATTTACCATCAATGTGACACAGTTCTGTGTGTTTGCTGACCTCGCAGTAAACCTCAGGCGTCAGCTTTGTGCTTCCTGCCATTTGCATTTGTCATCGTTGTGAAAGTTACAGTTATGTAACTAAAGGGAAAAAAGGGAACAAAAGGAGGGAAGAGTAAGACTAGTATGTACAAAGTGTTCCTTTTTTGGATCGGGCTGCTTTTGAAATCGTAAGACAAACACACACGTATCTAAAGCAAACACAGAGCAGAGCTATGTGACTGACAGGAGGCGTTTTGTGTACCAGCTGGACTGAAAGTTGCTGAAATCTATCCATCTGTAACAACAGCCATCCGTCATCATGGTGTAATTATTCCTTGTACATTAATTTGAGAAAAAAAATTAGTGTGAAAGGCAAAAATCAGGAAAAGCTGAATAACCAGACTTAGGCCAGTGTAAAGTCAAAGTCTTTATTCATTGTAAGCAGTTAAGTGAATTTCATGATTCTCACACTTTCAAATATAATCCACCTGTTAATAAGACTTAAGAGCAGTGTATCGGCATATTTTCATAATGTTGTAAAAATAAAACCTGCAGTTTCTCCAGTTCTTCAAACAAATGCTAAAATGACTAACCGGTACATTTTACTGGTCCTACATATTATCCCCCCGTCCTCTCCCTGAGTGTAAGGAGTCAGCACTCACTTCTCAACAGTATATTTTTTCTGTCCTCTCCTTACCACACAGGGACCTCTGCTGCGCTGCAGCGTTGCCCTGTACACAGCTGGACTTCAGCTGGAACTTCACACTGTAGTTTTGTATTTCATATCTCCTCTGAAAGAGCAGAGGACAGGCCCACAGCATGATTAGTCAACAGAGGGCCACAGTCCACCACTGATGTGCTAACCTAAGCCAAACATTGATTACTTCAACGAGATGGTTACTACAGGTAGATTTTCTTTGAGTAGCTCAAAGTTTCCAAAAGAAAGGAGAAATGAGACCACTACACTCAGTATCACCACTCTTGATTAAAAACAAATCAATACTTAACCCTTTAAAGCCGGTTGCTCCGTTTTGCGTAACTATTTTTAAATCCCGGTAGCACTGCAACCACGTAAGCTAGCGCAATAATTTTTTTTGCATATGAAACCGGAGGAGTTATACTTACATCTTGTGCCATTGTCCTCGGTCACGGTTTCCTTCCACATATAGCTTTGCAAAAACTGCATAAAAAGCACTTGCAGCAACAAAAACACAATATTCCAGAAACACGCTTTCCCGATCCGATCAGCTGTTTGTAACACTTCCTACGTCATCAGCGCAAACTATCTCGTGTCCGCCCTGTCCTGTCCGAAACCGGAAGTGACGTCATTTGCGGAAATGTAGTTTTTTACCATCAGGGTCTTATGAGCCTATACTGGTGTTTTTAAAAGTTATGTTTAACTTTATGACTTTTTGTGTCGTTTCTGGGATGCATAGGACTCATATTGCACTGCTGGAAATAGTTTATTTTGATGCATATGCTGTTTTTTTGCAAATTTGCATTATAATATTTATTTTGGTTTTTCCTGCAGTGTATAAAAATTGGTGTATTTCAAAAATAAAACTATGAAGACACTTAAAATAAATTTCCTGTAGTGGGAAACTATTTTGTGCAACTTTTTTGTATTTACAGTTTTGAGGGTTAAGCCTCTTAAATTTTTTGCAATTTATGTAATTACTATGCACTTAATGCAGACGTATTATTAAAATTTGGACTATAATGGTTGTATTGATGTATATCAACTTGAAATGCTCCCAAAAATGGCTCCACAACATGTAAAAATATAATATGAGCTCTGGCGGATTTGGTTCTATGGTAGGTCTTAAAGGGTTAAAGAACCACTTGGCTTCACTTCAGCTAGATTAGAAATCTTTATAAAAAGTAAATCGCAACTTTTAACCCTTTTAAAAAAAAATGCCCTCATCTTCAGTGTTATAAATATGGATTATAAAAAAGAAATGCTTCATCATTATAAACCACAGAGCTTCAGAGTCAAACGTAACCACAGTTTTGCTTAAGAATAAAAGAAAGTGACTAATAAATGGAGATAACCAGACATTTTTTAATTTGGCTGTTCACAGCCTTGAGCTTCATCCCATGTGCGTACCGCTGCAAATCTCCCTGGCAACAAAATGAATAATTATTTAAGGCTGTTTGTCAAAAATATTTCAAAATGTAGTGCTACTCCTGGTTGATCCTACATTTGCTGATTCCATGATACAAATGTAATTAAAAAAGACAAAAATAGCCCACTCTGAAATGACTCTGTTTAAGCTCTAAGTCTTTTGATTTCTGTACTTCAACCGCTGAGCCTATTCTTCCTCGTCATCCTCGGTGATCTTCACCTTCACTCTGTGCCAGGCGTTACTCAGCAAGCCCCTCACATTCCAGATCGGACCGAATGTGTCCGGCTGCGTGTTGTAACTGTTGTCCACTGCCTTGCAAATGAGCTCCAGCTCTTGGGCCTCTGGAGGAAGAGGAACCGTTATCTCCCACAGCTTCCATGCCCAAGCTCGTCCTAGTGGGGGAGATGTTTGATCTCCTTCCTTGTCGCTGCTCTTCAACTTGGCCACCTTCCACGTCTTCCCTCCGTCCACAGAAACATCGACGCGTATCACCTCTCTGCCCCCGCCGCTCCAAGCGTAGCCCTTCACAGTCAGCATTTCTTCGGTGCGATCGATCATGGAGCCTTCTGCAGGTGTGGTAATGGCAGACTGAACAGGCAGCTCTTGGATGGCTGGAGCAGATTTGTAGTCCACTGTGTCCCAGTCTATTTCAGGGGAGAAACCTTTGTAATCGTTCTGCTGCCAGTGGCTGCTGCTCTCCTGTGCACTGACTACTATTTTACCCAGCCACTTCACGTTGCGTGTGCCCACTACACCTGGTACAACCACACGAATGGGGAAGCCATGGTCGGCTGGAATATCCTTGCCGTTCATTTCATAGGCCAGCAGCACATCACCCTCCTCGCTAACTGCCTTATTTATAGGGATTGAAGCACCGTACGCACTCCCTGTTATTTCTTTATCCAGTCCTTCAAACTGAACGTGGCGAGCCCACTGGGCTACATCTGGCCCGAAACCTGCAGCCAGCAGGACATCCCTGAGCTTGGCGCCGCTCCATGTCGCATTACCAATGGCACCAACGCCCCAGTTCAGTCCCTTAACCTGCCGGGCCTTATTCATCTCACTACGGCGGTTTCCTGCACACTGCAGGGTAGCTGTGATGGTGTGTTTGGGGAATCGAGTCTTCAAGTCTTCTAAAGACAGTGTGAGCACTCCTCTGGGTAGCCCCTCCACATGTAGGCGATATAAATCGGGGTCCACCTGAGGAACCGGGAGGTGGTTTCTTTTGAAGAAGAAAGCAGTGGGCGTGATGTAGCTGTCAGAGAGGATTTCAGGCGGAGGTTCAGCGTTGAAGGGCTTGAGGCTGTTGGCGTGCAGGACAGGGTGACGCTCAGGGTCAGAAGAGTAGGGGTCTGATGATTTAAAAGTATTTTGCTTCTTCAGGTCTTCCGCTTTCAGCTCACCAATCTTGCATCAACCACAGACACAAAGATTTTATTAGACCAAAACTGCAACTGAACTTCTCTTCAGCTCAAGAAGCTAATAAAAACATCAGCCACACATTTTTTTCTCAGTGACCACTTGAGGGAGTGCCAGCATTCAGCTTACAGCCATGAGGTTTTCCTCAGTATATAGTGTGCAGCAGACCTTTTCATATGTGTCTGCACTGAACAGAAGGGCAAGATGAACAGCGTACATTTAAAAAGTTAATTTAAGGATAAATTCAAGCGATGTGCTGCGAAAGCTCATCAACCTCTGTTGCAATTTTTCAAAAACATCTAATGAACAGCATCTACTGTTTTATTATTATGTCAGCTTTTCTTTTGAGTGAGAACCTTATTAAAAGAAAGAGCTCTGCAGGCTTAGCAGTGGGTATGTCTGTGTTGATGTCAAATGAAAGGCTCACACATGTGTTGAGGTCTGCAGTTTGGTTTAAGTGCAAATTTCCACACAGCTATACTGTGTAATATCCCGTTTGACACAACTATTTCCACCCATAAGAAAGTTTTTTCCTGGTAAATTTCTATGAATAGCAGTGTTGCTAAAGCTTTTACACCCACGCTCCCCTTTAGCTAACTTACTACAGGGTTGATTATGTAAAACTCTAACCATGCTCAGTGGTTACACCTGATCTTTTAATACTGAATGACAAACCCCAGTGCAGTACATTTTAACTTCTTAGTATGTAACAGCACTTTAGTTAAATCAACAGAAACAAGCGGGTTTCTCACCTTATACGCAGAGAGCATTTCCAGCACATGCTCCTGATTGTGTACCGCATAAAGCGACCAGAAGGGCTCAATGGCACCACCTGCTGCCATCATGATTTTCTCCCCACCAGGGTGTATGGAAACAAACTCGGTAATGTCATAGACGCCGCCTTGGTAGGTGACCCAAACGCCATCTTTCAGGGAGCGATGCCTTGTAACTTCCTCCTGGCTGATGATAGGAAGCGGGGAGCTCTTCTCTATAGCCTGCACAGAAACAGAGGCATCAGGCATCAGTTTCTATCAAAATAGCAATAAACTAATGGTCATGCACAAACCTATATACTCCCTACTTATTTTAAAAACACCAAAAAGTTCACTGGGATGTCAAAAGAAGAAAATATATGAGCTTTCAACTTTTCAAATTTGAAGCGCTACTGCTGCTTACTACCTTAACATAAAACCGTGTGGCCTTTTTTATTCGATTAAATAAACAACCAGTAAGCAGCTCCTTGAGAGTTAGCACTGACTGCTAGCATACAAGCCTCATTAGGTACAGCCTAATTCCTGGAAAGACATCAGTTGATATTTAACTGTTAAAGTTAAAAAATGTCAGACTTTATGGCAGTTTGGTTATATAATGCTGTCGGTGCTGTTAATCTGGTTGTACTGCTGAGAAAGGGTTTCTGTACGACTGTGGACTTTGCAGGGCAGTGCTCTGTTTTTGCTTGACAAGTTCTGAAGGTACAAAATCTGCTGATGTAGTTGAAGTTATAGTCATTCAATGGCCTGACTAAGGAAGAAAGGGCTCAATGACCCATTGACTTATTTGTTTAGTGTCTACCACAACACCAAGAACCATTTAAAGTCACACTCTACTATGTATTAATAATTTACATACTTTGAACAACTGCATTCATACTTTGAAAAGTTAATGTTTTTTCGCTGAGACAGTGCAATTTTAAATTTTCATTTGCTGCTGTGGTTAAAAACATATGTAGTTAGCATAATTTAGCAAATTATGGCAAAAAAAAGTGCATTAAAATTTAAAAAGAAAGTAAAAATGGACAGATATCATCTGTTCGTAACCTTGTGATGGTGTAGACCATATGCTAGTACAACCCCTGTGCCAGCCAGCAGTCCTGCCAGGACGTGTCTCCAGCTGGCACTGAAGCCATGTTGGTGAAATCTCTGGTCATTGTTGCTGCTGCAGAGACGAACTGCACACGATGCAACTACAGGTGCCACCTGATTTCTGAGAACATTTTAAAAATGAAAATATAACTTTGACATATATATATACAGCAAAATCTACTAGTAAAATTCTAATGAGAATGAAAGTGAATGTTTGGTATGACCACCTTCATTCTTAAACACAGTCTGACTCTCTTAGGCAGCTTTCTTGTCATTTTATTAACTAGTCTTCAGAAGGCTAGACTTCGTGAAGGACATTTAAAGCGCTTCTTTGGATGATGGCTGCTTTTTGTTTGGTTCTCTGTCATAATGATCCCACACTGGGTCAGTAAAGTTGAGGTCTGGGCTCCAGGGTGGCCAATCCATGACTGATGCATGCTTTTACTGCACTGGCAATGTGTTTGGGTTAAGCTGAAAAATGTTCTTGTCAATCAGACACTTTCCAGGTTTAAGGCACTTCTGCATTTTCTTTACTTTTTATTCACTGGAAGCTACAGCCATCATTTGTTTACAGATTATGCCTGTGACAGAAAGCAGAAGTGCACAATGCAAGACAAAAAAAACTGAGAGACATCCTGTAGTTGTCAGGTTTCTGTCAGTTTTAAATGTTCACCAGGTAAAACCTGGAATATCTGTTGCTAATTGCTACTGTAGCCCCAAAATAAAGTGCAAGCTTTTAGATTTATTGTACACTAAAACGTAACCTAACAACTCGTAACACTAAATTAATTTGCAGGTACACAGTCTGTTAACCAGAAAGAGTTGTCTTAGTGGAGCTCAGCTACTGAGCTACATCACAAGTAAAAATGAAGTAAATTATATGAAATAAACAGAAATACGTTGTTATAATAATGTACCTGTCAATGCTGAGCAGGCCAATTGGATTCAGCCTGTGGCAGCGTCTGAGGAGCAGCATTGCATTGACGCTCTGACAAAGAAAGAGAAATTTAAAAAAAAAAAAAAAAAGCACATGAGCATCATCTGGTAGCTGATCATTATTTTTCCATCCACACTTGGTTAGCAGGTCTTTGGGGCAGATAAATGTACTTCTGAAAATGTCAGTAATGTGAAACATTTCAACAGAGTTCCCAATTTTTACTTGTATAATTCAGTGTTGTTGCACTCCTCAAGAAACTCCAAACTGTGTGTACACTTACAGCCAATGGGTTTTGAGTAAATGACAAACAGAACCTTAAAATGTTCCCATTTCTAATCAACTGACCAACAAACTGTTACTTCATCCTTCAAAAAATAGCCAACCAGCTGAGGGGGAGTGAGCAGGGAGGAGGGGAACGAGGAGGCCAAGGGCTCAATTCACTCTTGTATGTTGTCCAGCAAACAATAACAACTGAGGAATAGTTGATTGACTAACCCGAGAACAATACCATACTAAACTAGAACTACCAACCAAAAACGTATTTACAGACCACTGATAAACCAGAGGATATCACATGAGATAGCTGTGTTTTATCAGGTGATTACACATATCTTATCACAGCAGCCATAAACATTACTTTGACTTATCTGACAGCTTTTACAGAAACAGCACAAGTACAGTCACTGAGGAAATTCTGATTTTCAAAGACTTTCAAGAATGGTAAATGGTAAATGGCCTGCATTTGTATAGCGCTTTTCTAGTCCTTAAG